TTATCTCCTAAATTGTTCCTTGTTTAAAATATAAACGGTCCGTAGCCTGAATGGGACTCCATCCCACGCATGGAAACCACCTTCGGTTTTGCAGAGAGCGCTTTCTGCCGACTGAGTGAAAAGAGCTCACCGCTAGCACTGCTCTTTTCACAGCTGCATCACCCATTCGACCTAAAGAGCTATATGAATTCTAAATTCTTGACACACAGAAAATATCCCATCATCCACGTTTCCATTTCACTCTATTTCAGCTATATCTCCTACGAAACGGGCACATTTCTGGACTTCATGATTGGAGACTATAACTTCATTCTTTACAAAAATGGTCACTAACAAAAGGGGTTATTGTGACCATCCTACCTTCGTCTCTGCAGCATCAGATTAACGAAATCCGAAATAAAATTAAATGAGCAATGAAAGTCTTTTTTTGGTGTTCAAATTTCAAAATTATGTACTTATATTTGGTTATGAGAGGGGTACCGAATAAACATGTTTGAGTTTCTATCCGTGAATAGTACCATTTTAACAAGTGTTGTTTCTCACCTCTATCCATAAAAAATGGAAGTAGTACTAGTAGCTTTTTGATTGAAATTAAGTTCAATTAGTTAAAACAACCAAGAAAAGTGTGAAAGTATGTTGCACCAAATAAGATTTAAAGTGTATCCAACTCACGGTATCAAATCCAAATGTGGATATCTTGGAAGAAATTGTGCGTCATTCTCTGATTATTTGATCCATATAGGTAAGTTAGCCACAACTAAAAATGACTAATTCAGGTTTTACGACATTTCCTAATACAAATCCACTTTACAATATGTCCCTAATTTTTCACCGGCCAGATGGCCTATCATATATTGTCAAGTAAGACTTAACCGGCAAATAACAACATGCTTTGGTACCATGAGGGTTTCTTATTAGGAACACCGCTGAAAATAGCTGAACCAAAATAAATTCGGACGATTCACACATTTAGTACCGACTAAGCACGATTCGAATTTAGACCGGGTAGGAGTTGTTTATAAAAATTATCATACTATTAGTGCAATGAACGTATTTGATACTCACTGATGGACCTGGCTTGTGTTGTTTTACAGTTATCAATTAAAGTTTGATTTGAACACGAATCTTTTAGGAAATACTAACTCATAAGGTCTTTTCAATCATAATTAAGTAAACTGTTGCATACCAACCGACGCATATCTCGAGCATCACCGCAAACAATCAACAAAATAGTCCAAGAGACAAACTCACAAAGATTTTCTGTCCAGGGAAGACCTAAAGAGAAAACATGAACCGTTCTGTGAGTGAGCGTTGTCATCTATTGACTGTTGTCTATTGTCTCTTTTATCTATTCACCAAAATATTTGGATATGCACACATTCACTTCATCACACGTGACCATCTACCGATTTCTCTACGATCGATGTAGTTCAACCTTGATCTCTAGGCTTAGGTAAACTCACCCCAAATGCAGCGAACCACGTAAGGATATTCGATTTGTTCACACTTAAAAAGCACTTTGACCGTATTCAAAGTGAATTAATTAGACCGAATCTGCTGCGAGATTTCCTACGCTTCAATTCAAACCCAGTGAACCCGATCATCTTTCAAGGTGGTCAGGTGAAATGTTAATTTAATGCTAAAACTAGCCTCAATTCATTTTGTAGATTGGAGATCTTGATGATCCAACCATAAGTGGCTAATTAAGTTTCAATAGAAGAACATCTTTTGTTCCAGATAATAATAATTCGTTCAAATAGTTGTTTGGCAGATTTGAAGTTTGTATGTCGATTGTGAAAAGTTCAGTAGCCTCGGTGGGATTTGAGCCCACGCATGGACGCCGCCTACGCTTTGTACGCGCATGCTCTACCAGCTGAGCTACGAGGCCACACGGATGGGTGAATTCGAATGTAATAATAATTCGGTTGCGTGACCATAGAGCAGTCGGCTTGTGAATTAACTGTTAACGACCCATTTGTTCTAAGTCAGGAAGCCAGCATGATCCCTGTAAACTGTTTTGTTCTCGGACAATCAATCATTAAAAAGATAGCACAACTCAGATGATTGGTCGGAACTGCGAATCAATCAAGATGGTTTACAACAACCCGGTCAACCCTTCGTTTGATATATGGATTCCTATGTCCTCTCTCTTCAGTATAAATAGCATTCTATTTGCATAATAGTTGAATTCTTGCACACTACCAGTTGTATTCTACTTCACTACTTATGGAATTGCTATCTGAACTAGCGTCATCATCGTAATACAAACACTTTAGAATCCCGTATCAAGTAAATTCATGTCGCTGTGCTTGGGATTCAAATACAATAAACTTTAATGATTTCATTTATTTAGGCTTTTACACTTTCCGCCTGTTGACATCATTCATAAATTTCGTAATAATAATTTCCATGAAACTACTGAACTGAATAGAACGAACTGGTTAGCCTTGAGATTTCAGTGTTCCATTAAAACAATTGAACAGATTGTCATCTTGTTTGGTTAGGTTACTCGACAATTCTAACACAGTCCCCGCTGACAGTCGAGAACACCCTGAGGAGTATAAGAATTCCGAAATCTTATTAGCAAACATTTATGACAAATACACCAAAGTGTTAGTAATCCGCAAGTGTTTCAAACATTTTCCCAACACTTTGAGTGCTGTTTTCCTGTGGCTAGTTTATTAACGTTTCAAAGCTGTCGATGAAGACAACTGTCATTACGGCACACCGGTAAAAAGTCAGCCAACTCGGTTTCCCGAAATCGAAAGCTTCAGGCTTCAGGGCTCCACAGCTGTTTGTTATATTGTAGCGAGAAGGTGATCTGGCTGGGAAAAACGTCTGTGGATCCAATTAAAAAAGCGAACGGTGTATGCGTTCCATTATATACAATCGATTCTCAACCGCGCGGCGGGATGATTCATGCCGCTTTCTGTGGGTCATTCTTTATTGATTTGGGTCCGCCCTTGGCACGTACCTTGCCTTTTATTCCGCGTGCCATTCCGACTGTTTTGACCCGATCGCTGCGCGAGATGCGTTGATCGACAGCTCCGATGTTGTGGCATTCGGTGGATATCTTTCCCGTTAGCTGCAGACTGTCTGTCGGGCTGTAATTGTTGATTCGCTCGTTTCGAGTGGCAGTCAACATTGTCTCACAAGGCAATTCCCGCCACTGCGTCTGCGAGTCTGGTCGGATGAGCTCCATTCTTGATTCCGTCGCTAGCCAGGACTCTCCTTGTACCGCCTTCCATCACAATATGACCGGTGGTAGTGTAATGCACACTGTGGTCACATCATAAATAAGCTGCAGTGGATCTGTGTGAATAAATACTATATATGGACTCCTATTGAGCGGGAGTTACATGAAAGACCATCATCCGCGGACCCGAATCAATGCGTATGTGCAATAACCTAAACGTGAGGAGCATCCGGTTATGCAACTCTTCCCCATTTGTCATGATTTCTCCTCGTTACAAAATATTTTGACATAAATTGGGGTATTGGATTGTAGCTACCATGTATTTTTCTTACAGACTCTTGTGTTTCAAATTCCGAAATAATCCCATTGTAACATCAGAACACAAGTCCGAAGGCGAACAATCGTTTTCGAATGATTCATAATCGTGCCTGTACAGATCATATAAGGGTTTATCGTTAGTGGGGACACATTTTCACGCTGGGTCAAAGGGTCATTTGGGATGAGGAGAGGAGAGGGGAGAGGTAAGCTCTATGTGTCTGTGTTCG